GGGAGACCTTATTGCAGCCTGTCAGTACTTAAAGGGGGCTTATAAAAAAGATGGCAGCAAACTTTTCAGCAGGGTCTGTTGCGACAGGACAAGGGGGAATGGCTTTAAACTAAAGGGGGGGAGATTTAGACTAGATCTAAGGAAGAAATTGTTTACGCTGAGGGTGGTGAAACGCTGGCCCAGGTTGCCCCGAGAGGTGGTGGATGCCCCATCCCTGGAAACATTCAAGGTCACGTTGGACGGGGCTCTGAGCAACCTGATCTAGTTGAAGATGTCCCTGCCCACGGCAGGGGGGGTGGACTAGATGACCTTCAGCGGTCCCTTCCAACACAAACTATTCTATGATTCTATTCTATGATTCTAAGGTGCCAAAGCATCCGTGCCTTTTGCCATTTTAGGTACACTGTGGTAGCCAAGACATCTGTATGGGACAAGCAGAAATGATAGAAGAGCTGCAGAAGACTTGTATCAACTGTATCAACTAGCTTTTCACTGGCACCTGTGCAAATGTGGCAATCAGCTCATATGTAAACACCTAAATTTTGGTGAGGTGAGTCTGATCCCTGATGTTTAATGAGATTAATCCAATTCTTATTCAAGACATGAACTCTCTAGACTAGGTGGACTCTATCAGTTATGATGTCAACCATAAGAACCTGAATGATATGAAACTCAGCATCTTTCTTAAGATGGATGTGGAACTCGAGAGACATCTTTCTCTCATTTAAGCACATATATGCACAATCATTTTAAAGCCTGTGCCAACATCAACAGCTACGTTCAACCTCCGATTCTGTTCAGGCATTTATAATTTCCATAACTACACTGCGTAGGCAAAGAACTAAATTTTGCCTTCAGTAAACCCGTTGTGGTAATGTTTTTGATGAATATCATACCACATTAAAAAACATATTTCAGGATCTGAAAACCGTAAGCCTCTGGGAGCGAGAAGAGAAATTTACTCCAGCTATAGTATAAATAACTAGAGTGGGATTTTCTATAGGATTTAGTTTTCTAAATACTTTGGAGTATCTGAGACCAAGTGGCTCATGAGAAGCTCCATGGACTTGAGATCTGTGCTTCTAGATCACTTACCTACTTCTGAAAATCATCTCCTTATATTATTGACATTAGTAGATAGCACAAGCTCTGAACTTTACATCTTTTGATTTCAAAGCAATTTGAAGGATGAGAGTCATTTATGCTTTATAGGTGAGAAAAAGTAGACAAAAACAAGGTAAGTAAGTACTTTGCTCAAGGTTAAAAGAGGTTTCTTACAGAAACCATTGTCTTATCATGGCGTATCTATCACCAACGACAAACATGCCTTGGACCTATATAAATTCTCATATAGACTAAAATACCTTGAAATCATCGTGACGTATCTCTGTTCAAGATTTGTAAAATTAAAGAATGTTTTTTTCTGTACCTGAAAATGTCCAGTCTGCAAGAAGGTTGAAACTCATCCAATAACAGGAATACTGATAGCAGAATACACAAAAGAAAATTGCAGACACCCCTTGCCCAATCTCCAGAGATGTTAGATATTTGTAGGTAAGAAATAAATGCAAAGTGGCTTAGTCCTTCACAAAGATTTAGCTCATTCAAAGTGATAGCAAAGTAGTGGAAGAATTGAAATCACATTTCAAAATTTCCCTTTTGAGACACCATAACCAATTTTAAATGCCAAAGGGAAGTGGCCCCGGGGGTAGCACTGCAATTACTTCTTGTAAGCACAAGCCCAAGTATAATTTTAAGTATTTAAGTCATAAACAATTGTAGTTTAGGTAAAAGTTTTTAAAATTGCCTGTTCAAGACTTGGTGAACCGTACGTTACACTTCAAATCTTAAGAGACCAAATATTTTAATGGATTTGTGGGATTTTTAGAGGTTTGTCTAAACACAGAATTTTATCCAGTTATTCCTATTTTGAGCCAAAAGACTTCTGTGAGGGTGAAACACATTAATACTCCAATTTTGGTCTGAAGACATCAGGAGATGCAGAATCTGATACATGTCATAAGGTGAAATCCTCCTCAGATGGCCAAAAGTTAGTTATCTAGGTCAAAGCTACTAACTTTCTGTATAGTTAACAGCGGAAAATAGCCATTTTCAGCGCACAAGGGAAACAACGCTTCCTCCATATTCAGCTCAGAGGAATCAGCATTTCTAGAGAGCGATTGATCTCTCTGTTTGGAAAGAGGAGGAGAAATACCTATATTTGGTGAAATGACTTCCCAACGGCTGGTGGAGTGGGAAGGCAGTGGTGGAATGGATAGTCTAGATAATTTCCCCTAGCACCAGGTATTAATCTCTTTCCCACCTGCCTGGACCCCAGACGGACACCTTAAGAAGTCAGAAGAGCTTCTGAGGGAACTGCACAGGATTCAGCAAATATGTTTGGGGTTTTAACTTCAGCTGTTTGAACGGCAAAACTTTGGGCTCAGTGACCTGCTTTGTTTCATGACACTTTTTTGATGAGGTGTCGGTGCTGGATGAGGTGTGCCAAAGGTTCATTCAAACTTTTGGAGGCCTGAGGGGAAGTAAGACCTCACTTTGGACCTGCTTCCGTTAGGAATATAAGCATCTTCAGCCAGGATAAAGAGGTGCACTCATCTCTGAGGAGAGGTCATCAGCTGTAACCCCCTCCTGGAGCTAGGTGCTCATCCATAATTGTTCCTCAAAAACGAGACGTTCTTTTTTTTTTCTTGTGCCCAATAGCCTACAACACCAGAGAGGGGGAGCTCTGTCAGACAGCTGTGATTTTCTTTGCCAGAGCTGGAAAAATTTTAACAGGGAAGGATCATACACATCCAGTTTCTGATACTCTTTCTCTGAACATCTATTTTTGGCTGCCATCAGAAATCGATACCCCTGGGCTGACTCGTCTCACACCGCAGCGCTATTCTCATATTCTCACCAGTGGGGCTGCCCTGTTGGAACAGCAGTGTGGGAGTACAGACAGCGCCATCACCCAACGGCCAGCTGGAACCGGCAGAAAAATGTTGGCAAGCTCTGTTTGGTGATCTTTTTTTATACTGCTGATTCAGGAGAATCTCCACTCTTTCCCTGCAGTTGCTCACTCACATCTTTACAAATACAGTCTTCTCTGACATGTTCTTTTGCACCAGGATGCTGGGAAGGGAAGCTGAATTTCTGGAACGAGTTCCCCTCTAATTCTATAAAGCTATCCCTGTAAATGAATAAAATATGGGGGAGTCCAAATGAAGTGAAGAAAAATACCCTGTATCAATGAAATCCCCATACTAATCATCATCTGCACATTTGCACCTCACATTTGCCACTGAAAATCAGACTTCACCTATTTGCGTATCATCTGGCTAATCTCATA